TTTATTCGATAGTCCATTGGATACTCTTTGTCGCTCAAGCCCCGGACATTCAGAGATGATGTGTTTCACCGAGATGTTAACTCCACAGAACTCGCATCTGATGGCTTCCTCTTTCCTGAGGAGATGTTGATGTGTTAGTTTGGTTTGTCCAATGCGTAGTCTCAAAAGGATAACTTGTTGTCTTCTGCTTACACCTTCTACTCTATTTTTGACGATGTTTGTATTTATTTCAGTTAGCTTATTATTAGAATTTTGCCACCTTGTGAACCACTGTTGCCTGGACAGTTCATTTATTCTCCATTTCAAATCTTGGTTCGGTATCTCCAGAATAACTTTGGCTTCGGGGTCTGCACAGGCTTGCTTTGCTACAGTATCGGCCGTTTCATTTCCTCCAATTCCAGTATGTGAAGAAATCCATGCAATCTCCACCTTTTTGTTTTCCTGGTATAGTGCCAAAAGGTCCCTCTTTATGCGTTGCAGGAGTTGATGTTTCGGGTACATTTGCAAGATTCCTTTTACCACACTGAGAGAATCTGTGGAAATGACTGTCTTGGTACTGGTACTATTGCGCGCTTCTGATATGGCTTCTGCTAAGGCGAAAAGCTCCCCAGTATAAATGGTCCATGTTGCGGACAGACGGTAGGAGAGATGTGAATGAGGCGTGATAACCGCGGCTCCTACAGTTTCGTTACCAACTATCTTGGAGGCAACAGTGTAAATGCAATCATAACCGGAGTATTTTGCTTTGAGTTCATGAAACAGAGTTTGGAATAGGGTGAAAGGAGTTGAGGATTTAGGGTATTCAGAGAGTTTTGTGTTACATTGGGGAATTTTAACTGTCCACGGGGCTGGTTGGTATTGGGGAGGCGTGATGACATTTTCAAAATTGAAGTTCCATTTCTGAATCCGTTCTTAAAAAGGCGATGCTGTGTTTGAGATTTCGGGAAGTAGGTTTTCCGGTCTCTTGAAAGTATTTCTATAGGTTGGTAATTTGGGTTGGCAGATATCTTGGCAGCGTAACAAAGACTTAAATATTGCCTACGGATTATGAGGGGCGGTAGGGATTTGTTTTGATTTTTGGAAAGAGCAGGAAAAAATTTATAGATCTACCTACTTATCACGAGCGCGCATCCAATTTGACAGATGATTCATCATTACGTTTTGAAATATTCACCCCACTTCAAGGCATTTTTATTGAACTATAATTGAAAATACAATTTTGGTAAAAAAAAATCAATTGCATTCAAAGTTGAACAGCATTAGAAGCAAATCAGGTGAACTATAGATAGATTCACTGCAGCTCATGAATCAATAGTGAAGAATGAAACGAGCCCTCAAAAATTTCCAAAAAACCGCAGATCTATCTATTTCACCCCAATGATGTTGAACTTCGAAGGTCGTTATTATTTTGTGAAATAATTGGATTTTGAATAACGAGTACGATAACAATGACTCACAATGGAGCCGAGTATATCAGAAAATAATAATAAAACATCTGTCAAATCCGATGCGTGGTCGTAAAAAGTAGGACACTTCATACGTTTTTCCCTGCTCTTTTCAAATATTGAAACAGATCTGAAAAATATTGCCATACAAAGTGTTGTTTTTGATGTAAAAGAATTTTTCTGTTTTTCCTCAAGACGGACCTGGATTGTGATCCCGATTTTCATTCAGTTTTGATAGGTAATATAAGTGGTATAGTTTCACCAAATATGTATAGATTATACAAAGTGGTTCAAAAGCTATGCCAAAATCAAGATATCGTCCTGTATCTCAGTTATAAACAACGGTAGACACATCAAAGGGGGTGATTTGTAACCATCACAGTGCCCCTCATCTACAGGTATCGTATGTACATTTAAATCTGAAACACCCTGTATAGTAGAAGAAAGAGAAGTCGTTGCTGACACGTTAGAGATAAAACTAGCTTGCTAGTGGGGATTGCAGCAAAGTGAAGGTGAACTCATTACAGTTTGTCCGAGCTTTCGGAAATTTATATTTCCATCTTCAGGGTTACTACATTAGATTTTTATGTGTATATACAATGACAGCGATATAATGGAATGTTCAAATGGTACTTACACTATTTGAGGATGATCACCATGATGTTAAGAGGAAATTTTGAGAATCGTATCAGTTTTTTGGACATAGAGTGTCACGAAACATTTAAAATTCTTGTAAAAGACAAACAAAAACGGTTCTTACATAATTTTTACAGTAATGCAAATTATTTTATCACAAATTGAGACATTGAACACGTTGACATATTATGTGTATCAAAAAATTGAAATATTCAATGATGATAAGCCCAGAATGATTCTTCATTCTGATTTGGCAACAACGCATCGTTCGGGTATATTCGGAGATGGTGGTCTAATGAAAAATTGGGTGAATCAAAAATTTGGCGAATCGTTAATTGATCCCATCGGAAAATGGGTGAAGATTAGTCAATTGACTGCCGCGGCTGATAGTCCATAGCCGAGCTGTCGTGTGAAACACATAGTTTTTTCTTCAAATGTATTGAATCAATTTTGTGAATTTTTTTATTGAAAACTCCATCATTTTGTGTTCATTCAATGTCAGTATCAATCTTGATCATCAATTTCATTCAAATTACTTGGAACGGTGCATAGCAACAAAATTTGTTCGCCTAGGCAGAGAAAGTAAACCTTTCCTACCTGTTAAGTGTCAGAGGAAAGCCACTTCCCCTGCCACGTGAAGAAAATAGTAGTTTTCCTAACAAGTGCGGAAAGTGATACTTTCCCGCACGCGAATGCTGTTGACCCGAACGACGCAGAGTGGAGTTCGGGCAAGCAGTCGAGTGCGGGAAAGACACTTTCCGCATGAGTTGGGAATTTTCCTAAAAGTGCGGAAAGTGATTCTTTCCCGCACGCGACTGCCGTTGACACGAACGACGCGGAGCGGAGTTCGGGCAAGCAGTCCAGTGCGGGAAAGACACTTTCCGCATGAGTTAGGAACAATTTTTTTTCTCAAGCGTAAGAAATTGGTTGATTTGTTCAATTAATTATTCATCCATATAGGAACAACTAACAAGAGAAATATATTCTCTATCTACTGATTATTAGTAATAGCTATTGTGAACTTACAGTTTGACGCATTATGTATAGATTCATTGCGGAAGCCAGTAGGCCCATAAGTATCAGGTATTTGGTCTCTAGGTTCCAGACACTTCTTTATTCGGTATTTTCATTTCTTTACTGTTGCATCATTTAATAAAACACGTGTATAGCTTCTCATACCTTCCTTAAGACTTCGTTGGCAATAACGCATCTGTATCGCATCCGTATAGCTGGAAGTTTCTGATCACATTGTGGCAATTTCCACTGAATCGAAAATGACACTAACGATGTGTCTGTCACTTCGACAATTACAAACTCATCTGAGGTTTGATTGGCATGACAACAATAATCGTTTCCCATCAGATCAATCCAAATCTAAAGGGGAGTTGTTATAATAATCAATTTGTATTCTTCAATATTCCTTAATTTTCACAATAAATAGTGCAATTTGATGGATGATTCTGAACATACATACTTAATACTGCAACAAACAAACTCAAACTCTCATATTCCATCACCTACCACTTATATTTTGCCATATCATCATATCTTTGTTTTTCTCGCACTAGTGTGGGAAAAGTTTTCCCGCAATGTTGCGGGAAAATGACACTTCCCAAACTAAATTGCGTGCGGGTATAGGGTGAATCACGCACGCTTGTAGAAAAAATATTTTTTCTACAAGCGTAGGAAATTGATTGATTTGTTCAATCACTCATTCCTGCGAATAGGTACAACTAACAAAAGTGATATATTCTCTATCTTCTATCAATTAGTGATACATCTATTGTGTGTACCATTAGAAGCATAATGTAGGTAAGCTAATTGCTGAAGCCAGCATGCCCATGGTGTTTGGCCTCTAGGTTTCAGACATTTCTAGGAAATGAGCGAGAAATACTCCTTCTTCATTTGATGTTTTCAGTTTTTTACTATTGCACCATTCAATAAATCCCGTGTAGTGCTTCTCATACCTTTTTTAAGCCTTCGTTGGCAATAACTCATCTGTATCGCATCTGTAGCTGGAAGTTTTTCATCGCAATTCCACTGAATCGAAAATGACAGTAAAGCGCTCTGTCTGTCACTCTGATAATTACACTAACTAATTTGTGTTTTGATTGACATGACAACAATTGTTTCCCACATCAGGTCAATTGAAGGCTATAGGGGGATTTATATAACAATCAATTATTATTTTTCAATTATTCTCCATTTTCACAATAAATAGTGGTGAATGATTTTGTACAATCTCACTAAATACTGCAGCAAAAAAAAATGAAATTTTCATATTGTGTCACCCACCACTCATATTTTGCGAGAATTTTATATAAATGGTCTTCTTGCACTAGTGTGGGGAATCTTTTCCCGCACTACTGCGGGAAAATGACACTTCCCAAACTCATTGCGTGAGGGTATAGGGCGAATCTAGTGGAAAACATTTCAAGAAAATTTTTAAAAGCTGGGAAATACTAATTTATTTACAATTCCTACAATCAAATTCGATATACCCACCTTATCAAATGAACCCTGAACTGTGAAACAAAAATATTTCTAAAATGAATATAGATATCATCTGATTTTCACTAAGTTGGTATTGTGTTGATCAATCATTTGCAGTACTAGAACTGGTAAGTCCTATAAATATCGCGATGTATAAGGAATTCATCAAACACATTTAGATTTTCAAATGCAGTTTACTCTTGTGTGTATCTATAGAATCAATCCATGATTTTCTAAGTACTACCTCAGTGGTCCTACTCGAATCACAAATGGATATGTCCTTGTATTGTTTATAAATACTATATAAATCTATATAAAAATAGAATGGTGCTTGAAAATTGACTGGAAATGATTCGAAAAACAAAAATCATTCAAAATTATAGTCAGTATACTGCAGTGTCACAATTTTTCCAGCACATCTGAAAGATGGAAAAAGACCGTTTTGATATCGTTTTATTTGGTGCAACTGGATTCACAGGCAAATACTGCATTCCATATATCGTTAAATTATCGAAAGTGAAAAGCTTTTCGTGGGCTATAGCAGGACGATCAGAAGAGAAATTGATGGAAGTTTTGAAAAAGATAGGAGCAGAAATGGGTGAGTTGAGATACAATTAATGAAAATATACATAACATAAACATCAAAAATGAAGACTCATGATTCCATAGGAAAAGAAGGTTATGATCTGAAAAAAAAAATTGATTGATCACCCTGTAATTTTTGTATTTGCATTTTACTATGCCTACAGGGGATTTTCAAAGGTGAGGCATTTTTTCAACAGGATGTAGAACTAATGAAATAGTCAATATCATCAAAAACTTCCCATATATGGAAGAAATAACGGAGTTCAAAAACATCCGATAGAATTGGCTCCATTACGATCCTGGTATATTCACTATTACTGGTGGTACAGGCCTCACCACGTATCCCTTTTTTGTTCCTTCAAACACCCTATGTCATGAATTATTATTGCAACTATTATTAACTTTTAACTCATGCATAGTTATTTTCGTTCAATATTACCGTAAACATGCATTGTTTGACACATCACTTCGTTGTCAACCTTGAAATATGTCAACAAAATTCCAGCAACTACCTCCTCTTCCTATATCCTCCCTATAGGTACGAACGATGTTCTTCGAATATTATTGGAATTTCCTTTCGTGCGCTCCAAGAGATGAAAAAAAGAAAACAATGAACAGAGAAAACATTTGTGAAATAGAACTCGATGACTAGCGCTAGACAAACAGAATTCAACTGTGTACTGTGGACGTCAGTAGCGGGACAGGGGATTGGAAAATCGTGTGGCAAGGACCGTGATGATTTTTTTTTCAAAATGTATCGATCGTTTATTGAGGTGATATTTGGTGAATCTATTTTGCATACAGACGACCATTTCACAATGAGGATATCAATATCACTTTTATCAATTCTGGAAATAATTTCATGATATTGATAAAAAAATCTCAATATCACCATTTACTAACAGATGTAGAAATTTAAACTGGTCTACATGAAATTCTTGCGGGCTATGGATGAACCAATTATTTTTTTGGCAATGTTTCATCATCAGTAACTACCAACTATCGAAGCGAACATTCAAGACGATGCTTCTCCCTTCAACATGGCCAAAAGGGTCAAGGTTCTCATAAACTGCTGCAGTCCCTCTAGGATAATCGATGTTCTGTTGTACTCAATGAACCAAACTTTCAGTTATATCTGAATGATTATAGCTCATTTGGAAGATTTAACTATGCCACAGGAGTCTATGTGAAAAAATATGAAATACAGATTTACTTTTCACAAAAAAAGGGCTGTAGTTGGCTAAAAAAGAGAGGTGTCCTGCAACCACATCGAAAACGGCATAACCTGTACATAAAATCCTTGTCGACTATAAGTGAATCGAAAATTCAAAGTTATCAAATTACTTCGTTACCTCTAGGATTCTGAATCCATTATTATTCACTAAAGTATACAACAAATCATTGAATAGTTGAGGAATTTTCAAAATTAATTGAACTTTAACCCCCATTATCCCCAAACAATCATTTGGTAACTTAGGCTGTTATGTTTCTTACCCCTTCATTCGGCTTTATATATTCTTCTGCCCTTGACAATGCCTATATAATGAATTAATAATTAAGTCCATGAAAATAAAGATTGTGCATTTGTATTTATTATCAATTATTTTATAGGCAGTGATTTATCATCGATATCAACTATCGTAGCAGACATCGGAAACGACGTTTCTTTGTTCAACATGGCCAGAAGGGCCAAGGTGCTGATCAACTGCTGTGGGCCCTTCAGGACACTCGGAAGACCGGTGGTGAACGCCTGTTTGAGGGCTGGTACTCACCAGGTGGACGTGAATGGCGACCCTGAGTACATGGAAACGATCGAGTTAGAGGAAAACGAGAATGCGAAAAGAAAAGGTAGGTGATGAACATATTGCTGGGTTTTGATGATTTATTTTCACTTCACTTGAACCTAAATTGTTCCATCCGTCATTCGGTTGCCCCTTTACGAGCAACCCTCAGAAGTCTTCGAGAGACTTGTGCGAGCAAGGAATGACGGGGGCCTTACTTCTTAACGTGTGATCCAAAACACTTTCTTGGGCCATCAGAAAAATGTCTGCAGTCGATGGGAATCGAACCAACGACCGGCAAGCGAATGCGGATTAGAATATTGACACTCTGTCCGCACGGCTACCTGGCCCCCTACCTGGGGTTGCAATCAGGGATAGATGACATGGTATATATATTTTTTACCCTCAATCACCCTATAATTGATGCTTAATTCACACTCCACCAGTGCAGCGGTTCTAAAACTTTTTTGGTGAAGAAACCCTTGTGAAGAACTGAATTTTTATCTGAATACCAGGACTCCGCAAAGCACTTTTTCAGTTACACTGCACCAGTGGAATAATGAGAAATACAAATTGATTCGATCACATTCTACTCGGATATTACTGATATCAACATAAGACTTTATATAATGATAAACATTCAGTTCTTTGTTTCATCATATTTCACTTCGTTTTCATTGATAACAAGCTTGAAGTTGTCATCAGTTTTAGAACTCATAGTGCCTGAAGATTTCGATATATGTCTAGAACAAATGGATATCTCCTCTTGTAAGGAAAAGTTGGTACCACCAGGATAGCCTTGATTTGCTCTCTTGCTTCATCAATTTTTCCAGACATAAAATCCTTGATATAACTTTCTCCACCACTAGCTAATGAACCTACCGCATTATTCACTCCTTTTCAATGCGTACAGTGTGTTGTTTCTACCAAGGTAGTTTCTGTCTTCTAAACTACTAGTCAATAAAGACATTGCCACCTCTGTTATATAATAATTAACCCGAATTCATTGTTCTGATACGAGATTCGCAGGAATGGCACTAGAATCCAGTAGGTATTCATCAATAATGACCTGTCATCTTATCATCATATACTGTCATGGTCATGACAACTAGATTTTAATTAGAATTGAAAAGTGCTCTCATAGTGACAATATACAAGGTGTTTTTGAAATAAGTGCACATATTCAGCACATTGATATGATACAGTCGAAACCCTAAGGAATACTTCCATGATATCAGATTTTTTCTAAGTCTTCTGATTAACGAGAAATTTCATCTTAAAAATTGAACAAAATTCTAGAAAAAATTCAAGTACGTCACTTTAAATGATTGTACTCCGCGTGATTGTGCCTACCACATGGAAATATGAACAGAGGTGACGTCAGATTTGCTACAGTGTAGATTTTTGGGTGGAAAAAGGGGTATAACCTCGAATTTTATTTTGATCCCTGAAATTTTTATTAGTGCCATTCGATAGTACATGTCGAGCTTTCTCAGTGTTTGGAATATTTGCACTTATTTCAATAACACCCTGTTATAGGTCCATATTAGTCATTCAGTTTCATAATGATTGAAATATATTGTTAGTGGGGAGAAAAATGTAATATTCACCTTGGTAGTGAAGAAGATAATGACCACAGGAAATTTATAACCCTGGGCATAAGCCTCGTGATATGAATAACTGTTATTGCATGCGTGTTTGAGATAACAATTTATTCGCTTAAGAATATATCAACTATACAATAAATAACTATTTTGGGGTGACACGTTCTTGAGAAGATCTCCTTAAAGAAAGAGAATTGAAGAAATATAGGAGCAAGTCAAAATTCGTATTCGTATAAAGAAATATAATCAGAGAAGTATACACATAGGTTATTTTTCCAGGCGTTTATATTTTGAGTGCTTGCGGCCTGGACAGCATCCCATCAGACATGGGCATCGCTTTCCTTCAAGAAAACTTCGGAGGTACTGTCAATTCTGCAGTCACCTACATGGAGACCTGGGAGGAAGGCACAAAAACTCCTGGTTCGGCAGTCAATTACACCACGTGGGTGTCTGCCATAACTGCGTTTGCGAACAAGGAGAGACTGGTGGAATTGAGAAGGAGACTTTATCCCAAGGAAATGCCAATGCTTAGGCCAAGGTTGAAACGGAAGTAGGTATCGAAAAATATACACAGATAGAAGATGAGTTCATTTATATCAAGCATATCAATTGAAGATTTCAAAATATCACAGATCGAGGCAATGTTCATCACATATGGTATTTTTCAGAATGACTTCAGTAATGATTGAACAATGAATTTGCAATAATTCCTTCTTACTTATGCAAAAGGTACTCACCTCTAGGCATTCCACCTGATTCATCCATGTAACGAAAACAAAATCTGATAACATTCAACAACAGTTATCACCTTCATGAATATCTATTATACGTCGCTAGCGCTCTCATCGGTCCCAGGCAACCAGATGTTTAGGAAACAGAACCAAAAGTTCTTTCAGTGACGTCTTTTTACGTCAAATGATGTGATAAATTACGAGTCCAATGACGTCATATTACTCACCTTCACTGACGTCATAGTCACCCACCAAACTGTGACGTCGAACAGATGTCGAAATGACATCGAAATGATGTTCAAATTTGATGATGAAACGTAAAATAGCCTTCCTAAGTATGGTGTGATAATACACCACTTACCTCTGATGACATCTGATATTGATAATGCATTTTGTGACTGGTTGGTTGGTGTCGGATGTCGGATGTCCATTCAATCGTATTTTCAGCGACGCTTTCTTTTGTACGCATCTACATCAGAATGAGATCAGTATTTGTATCAAAAATTATGTAGTTTGTGTCGGCAAGATATAAGCAAACCAAGAATATTTGATAGCGAAAACATTGAGGGGGGTCAGACCAATGTTACTTTTCAAATAAATCAACGTTTTCTTCCTCTCTGCCTATCATTGTGCTATTCAAGTATCGGCTGGACTCTAACTTATTTTCTTTCAAAATACCTATTTGTAACAAAATGTTTGTGCCTAGGTGGGTAGATGAGCTCGATGTTTCATGCGCATGAGATGCAAACTCGCACTATACGCTGACGACACAGCCATAATCGTCAGATCCAGCAATGCAAACATGACAGTACGGTACCTACAAGAACAAATTATAGACACGCTAGAAACCTGGTTCAAATACTGGAAAATAGAAATAATCGCAGAGAAAAGCCAAGCTGTTCTCTTCACTAGAGGACGCACCAAACCCACAGGACACATGATACTAACTGACACACAAATACCATGGGCAGATGGGGCAAAATATCTAGGGGTAACCCTAGACAACACGTCACAACACGAGTAAACTTGGGTAAAGCCGCAAGGCACAACCTACAGTCTCTAAGGTGGGAACAGACCAAGCAAACATTATTGTGCAACAGTTGAACAACAGGTAGGCAACTGTTGGGTAGCTTGTTTCCGTGGGGATAAATCATTTTCGAAAAACTGTTGAGCAACATCGACCAGCCTGCTCTCTTCGGTGTTTGTCCAGTGTTCGCTCAGTCAGGCCATGAGCAACCACACACTGCAGACGCTGTGTGCGCACTCTTGGGCCACATCTCCTTTGAAGTACTGCCTCGGGAGCGTAGACCGACCATCAGGTCGGCAACAGCTGCACAACTGTTGTGGAACTGCTGCGCAACACGTACACATTGTGTAAACTTGTGTGTTTCTCGAGTGTTGTTCCACTGTTGCACAACATTGATTGCTTGGTCTGTTACCACCTCAATAGGACGCAGAAGCAACATGGCCTCAGAGTTTCGAAGCTGCGCCTAATAAGAACCCTTCTACTGCCAATAATTTTGTATGCATCAGCGCATGGGGCCAATGTGCAGTGTTATACAAAAAGCGAATACAGACATTGCTGAATGTCTCAATAAGAATGGTAGCACCATGGTATTTCCCAAATACAGGGACCTAAACATAAACCCAAACTACATAAACAGCTATATAAGACAACACGCGGAGACTACATTCGAACGAACAGAAATCCACAAAAACCTGCTACTGCACGACCTGACAAACAGACACAGTTAAATCAAGACCAGCGCTTTGGAAGAATGAAGTACAAACGCCCAATTCACCAGATATAAGAATGAAAGAACAAAATTAAATCAACCAATAAAAGTTGCGTAAAAATCAATTCTATAATTGAACAAAAGAGTCCCTTTCTTGATACCCTATAAACAAGTAACCCAATAATAATATATAAATTGGAAATCGTGCTTCCCACAATGGTAGGAAACCACCACGCAAAGTCAGGTTAGGATTGTTAGGAAATACACACAAGATAAAAAGGTTTAAAAGTCGGGAGACAGAAACCAATTAAGGGCAATTCTATGAAACATAATATGCAGATTGCCAAATGCATAAGGTTGAAGTCCATTCGTTAGTGAGTGGGGGTGGATGGAGAAGGGGATGAGGAGCTATCATTTAACGCAAGCTAGTTATACAGGGTGGGGCATTGTAGCTTATAGAGCTCGATTGCTCGAGTTCTATGATAGCTATAAACTTGATTCAAAAACGAATGTGAATGAGACAACAAGTTCCATAACTAGAAATTATTGCCGCAAGTCTACTGAATTAATAATTGGACTTCTTATGTTTCAATTAGAGATGAGAATGTGTATCGATGAAAATGGTCAACCTATATAATTTTCAATAGTTCAATAATTCAAAAATGGTTACGAATATCAATATGGATGTTGAGATGAAGGATGTTCGTGTTTCAATCTTACACCAAATGTCCTGAGAATATATGGGGTGTTCCATTTAAAAAACTCGAGAAATATCACTTCCAAAAGTTCTGAATTGAAAAATCAGTCCTAGCCTCCCTGTATAATTTAAGAACATGAAAATTCTACAGAAATACCACGCATTTTTCAATTAAATGATATTACGATTATTTTCTCCTGAATTTCATAATTGTGACTATAGTGGTCACTTTGGAGACTTGCAGAACATCTCTTTCCGAAGACTCGTTCATCCAACGAACAGCGAGGCTCTGGAAGACATTGCCAAGGGAGGTGTTCCCAGAGGCATTTAGTCTCCAGAAACTTGAGAACACCAATTCCTACCTCATTTCCCTTGGTTCTCACGAAGTTCTTTGAACATTACAAATGAATAATAACAGATGCTTCAAAAAATGTGCTAATATACAGGACATTCCATTAGGAAAAAGGTGATCCTGACCCTCTGGATTTTTCCGGTGCCCCCTGTATATGCGGCAATGATTTCTAGCAATGGACCATGTTGTCTCATTCGAAGTCATTTTCGAATCAAGTTTCTAGCACTTGATTTTGGGCCTTCAACCTTTCGGGGAGCGTGGTGCGCATGAGATGCTAAACCAAATATTTTTCTTTGTTCCAGAATCCTGCCACACAAATCGGATCTGGTTAACGGATGGGTCCTACCCTTTCCAGGCTCCGACCATTCGGTAGTAGAACGATCGCAGAGATACTTTTACGAAAAGGAGTTCAAGAGGCCTGTACAGGTGGACACCTTGTGTGTGGCAGAATCGTTTTTCTACGTAATATTACTGGCGATATTAGGAATAATGTTCACCATTTTTTCTGCATTCGAATGGGGCAGGAAGTTCATGATAGATGTAAGTTCCACAGGTCTGATGATCTGCTTGTAAACCAGGACCTTATTCTCCTGCGAGAGAATGGAGGTCCTGGAATACAAAGAATAAATCTTCTTAATTGCAGTCTGCGTATAAGATAGTTGGTGTTTTTCCTGAGACTCATACGGGTGTCCAATTTGACTCCCAGGTTTTTCACGGTGGTCGTGTCTGCCACCTCAACCCCTTTGACGGTCGAAGGTCTGCTCAGTCTGGAGTTGTTGATTTTTTAATGAAAATGACTTCTGTCTTCGCACTGTTTATGCAGATCTTTGACTCGGCAAAGTACGGTATGATTCCCCTGTCCAGATGGATCTGGATCTGTGCCCTGGCGATATTCAAGTCGTCTGAGTGAGCATATATTGCCGTGTCGTCGGCGTACAATGCTGTACTCGTCAGCTCGAATACAGGGAAGTCATGCGTGTATAGGGTATACAACAGAGGTGAGAGGCACGGCCCCTGTGGAACAACTACCTCGAGTGGAAAATCTCCCGATATACTTTCGTTGACCTTGATGATAAGAATCGGCATCCTAGCCTTATGCAGTTTGGACACTAGAACCTCGTGCCAGACGGTGTCGAATGCCTTTTCTACGTCCATCATGACCATGACAGTGTTCTTGTTGTTGTTGATGGCCTCTTTAACCTCGTGAACAATGCGGGCCACTTGGGACACTGTTTTGTGCTCCTTGCGGAACCCGAACTGTTCTCTAGGTATGAGGTCCAGCTTTTCCACGTGGTATGATATGATTCGTAAGAGGACTCTGTCCACGATCTTGGCCACGGCGCTAAGCAGTGATATGGGGCGGTAGCTATTGGTAGAATTTTGGTTCTTGCCCTGTTTCGGGATTGGTACAACAAGCCCAGTCTTAAGGCATTCTGGGTAGTGCTGGCATTTAATGATTGCGTCGATTATGTAATGCAATTGTACTATTGCTTTGCGCGACATGTTTTTTAGGAAAATCATGTCAAGTCCATCAAGCCCTGAGACGACTCTGTTGATGTATAAATATCTGATGATTTCACTGATTTCTTTGGGCGATGTTATGCTTTTGTCCAGGGCTTGTCGCGGGAGCAGGATGTCCGGCGATGATCTTATCTGTGCTGCTGTTGCCATCATGTCCTCCTGGACCGCACCTGTTGGCCTTTTATCAATTTTAGATATTTTTTGAAAGTGTTTCCCAAGCACTATCGCCTTCTCCAGATCTGACACCGCTTCCCCGCGACCATACTCTAGGGTAGGAATGGGTGTAAATCGCTTTTTCAACCTTTTTGTCATTTTCCATAGAGTATTGTCGCGAGTGTCCAGACTCTTCAACTTGGCTCTCCAGGAGGAGTTCCTGAACTCAAGAATTTCGCACTCGATTTAATTGCATATTCTCCTAAAGGCGCCTCTGGCTTCCCGGGTTTTAAGCCGTTGCCAGCGACGCTTCAGGACCTTCTTTTCTGCTATGAGCTCAAGAATTTTCTCCGGGAGTTCGTCCTTGTTGGAGTCAATGCTGACCAGTCGCGTGGTGGAATCTCTAGCCATCGTGATGTTTTTTTATCAACTTCTCCATCTCTTGGTTGATATCTGCCCTATTGATGTAACTTTTTATAAGTTTTTTTTGGTCAAGCTGAGCGGATAGTGCCTTATCTGAGAAGCCAGGGCGATGCCCTACTATTCTCATTCCATCATAAATCACAATTTATACATTTCAACAGGGTGATATGAAAAATTTGTGACACATATGTCCGTTTTATTCATAGAAGAGAATATTCAAATATACCATCATGAGCTTCTATATGAATATTCTATGAATGTACTTGTGTGTTATCTGGGTATTGACGCGCCAAAACTCAACTAGGAGATGGGGGTCGATTTATGAACATAGTGCAGGCAATTCTTGCATTGATTTCGCAAATAGAAAATCAGAACGAAAATTCGAAGAATTGTTGATTCCATAGCATCCAGAATTGTTCAGCAACGGAGTGTTCAGCAAAAACGAACCCTCCAGGGAAAAAATCGAGAAAACGTGGTTCGCTGTCACTGTTCAAGGAAAAGGATGGAAACACACCCCTAGTAACAAAGACCTCGTGCTAGCCACCCCTTGTAACCAAAGTATGGTGGTCAGAGTCAAAGGGAGGAATCCCTGTTACGGGGCCACAGCTGCCTGCTTGGTTTGCGCTGCAGTCACTGTGCTCACGCAGAGTGGAAAGATGCCTGGGAGGTGAGTTTTATAAGCAGGGTAGTCTACGGAAAACTTTTCACCTCGATTTCAGGGCTGTAAAATGAAAATCGGGAAAAAAGTTCGAACCGATCAATTTCTGAACGTTTTGAGGTGTGCTCTAATCATCACTTGAATGAGGAACAATGTAAGAATAGGGAACCTAGTTTTCAAATGATATATTCATACATTTCACAAACAAGGATTATTCAGACTTTGATGGATATGATAGCTAACTCAACTTTAGACCATTTGAAACAAATCAGTTTCTGTTTCCACGAATATTTGGAATTAACAAAGCTCATTTTATTTCACCAAAACACTCGATGTGATAACAAGAAATGTTCGATGATTTCATGAAGATATCGATGAGTTCACCGTCACACAAGGCACGTTTATTGTTTCGACTGTCCTTCAAATAGCGGCCAATACACTTCCGTCTTCAGTCATCGATCATCGATTTGGATAACAGGAAACATTACCAAAAAGATAAAAAAAACAGTACATCAAAACAAAAACACCAAAACATATTACTGAATCAGAAACCATCCCGTCAAACGAACCGCACTAAGGAACAACAAAATAAACACAATTCTATTTGAGGGCGCGATGGCCGACGCGGCCGATGCTTACCTGAAATACACATACAAAAACTAAAAAACAACATAAATAATATTGAAGGTTTTTGCTTCCAAATTTCGTTTGTTTTTCACTTCATTGGAGAAAAACTGAATAAAGATTCCCATCCTATCATATTCTTCCGGGTGAATACGGTAAGGTCATCTGTCATCTGCACGATATGATAACTATTATTGTTATAGATATTTCATAGGGAAATTGAATTCATTATAGCCACAATCCAGTTTTTCGTGGCTGTTCATCAATAAATTGAACGCGAAAAAATATCGGCGCTTTCCAGAAATGCGCAGACATTGACAGTAACATTGGATATAATTACATTGTTAGACTCTTCAATGCTTTCACATTGGTATTGAAGAAGTCAACATCCCTATCCTTGAAGAGATCATTACCCAGCATTAATATTTGGCTTCGAGGATTATCTATATAATGGGTAGGTACTTAATACTGAATAATTTGTCACATTTAGATTTAAGCTCAATTTTCGGATCGATTAGTTCTATAGAATTGATTAATGCACATTTGTGGTATTTGATGTTGTTGAAATTACATATGTATATAAAATTCACAGATTATTGTTCTCTTCTATAACAGGGTTTTTGAAATTCATATGAATCCAGTTAAATGCGGCAGATGCTGTTGCGGAAAAGAGGAAAATATCGTTTTGACAGGGGACGTCGAATGATTTTTTTTCCTGAAGGGTTTCAGTTTGTTTTTCGTGTGGAAAAACACAATCAACCCGATAAAGTGAAAACAAGAAAACCTGTAATAGTTTAATATTCCTCTTATATTCAGTTCCTTGGATGACTACTGAACCACACTCTGAACTTCTTGTGCAATTGGGAAGTCGCTATTGGCTAAGGAGAATGTCTGATTCCAACAGCCAGAGTTATGATTCCTCGAAGAACGACAGCCCCGGAAATCGTATCAGGGCGCAGTTTCCAGTGAAAATTCCTGATACAGGGGATAATAGGTCTTGATCGAATCCTATTGAAACTAAAGATGGGGATCGAGTTTCCAATCAAAACCGACCTACTCCTATCGAACCGGGAGATGAAGAACCTATTGCGAGACACCAGCATCATGCTTTGATAAGATAGGGGTAGATATTGTTTTCTTCAACATATAAAAAGCGGAGGAATTTCTTTTGGCTACGTTCAATTCATTCTGTGTGGCAGCAGGCCATTTGGTGACCAAATTATTGATGCATATTCGAGGTGAGGCCTCACTAGGGCATTATAGAGCGTGCTGATGCTTTCAAAGTTCCTGGAATTGCGTATAATAAACCCAAGTTTTCCATATTGGCTTTATTGACAATGAAGTAGTGATGCTAAATCTCATAACTAAGAGATCTCTAGGACTCTAGACTCTACGCTTCGGGTATATCACCCATTTCGAAGACGCAGGGTATAACATGAAGTTGTAGTCATGTTGTAGCCATCTTGTGGCAAAGCTTTGAGGTAGGGTACAGATATATCGCGACATACACTGTATGGCGCTGCCATCTATAGTCACACGTACAGACCCCTACGTCTATACGCTACAGAGTGGTACTACAAGTAAATCACTCTGCTGACAGATGGCACTACCTGACATACTTGAGTACAATCGAACAGATAGTGAGTCCAAAAACTCTTTTGTGACAGAAAAAAAAAACAAATGAATAAATACTTTTCCAATCCCACTCTGATATGAATAAGTAATTATATTTCTGAGGTGAATTCAACATTGCCTGTTCCTCTTCAATGTTTATCTCTCATTTCGTTATCGATGAACATTTTTACGAGAAATTAGAGAGTCGGATAGTACCTACTCGATGAAATCTTCAAAATGAGATATTGCACAATCCGGAGATTGTGCTTCTCCCTGGTTGAATTAATACAGGGATTAAGGAAACAGGCGAGTCGTTCCCCCCTTTGATTAGAAATCAACGGGTCCGATAGCATTTTTCTGGATTTTTGTTTCAAAGACTCATAATCGGGCTGTGAAGTTTTCATATTGGACCACCCTTTTAAAAACATATTTCGCCATACGAAGTCTAGTGAATTACTGGCCAGTAATTTATTTTTTCTCCGATTGGCAGCAAATATTAATTTTGCTGACACATATCAATCAGCAAAGTATTACTTTTCCTGCCTAGGCAGCAATAAAGTGGGTACTTTGCTGATTGATATGTATCAGCAAAATTAATAATCCATAAATCGTTTATAATTTCCTTCATATTTCATCCGAGCATGGATTAACGACAAATTCAACTCTATATTTTTTGCCACCTCCCTCATTTCTGGAGGTGTGAGTACTTCCAGGTCGCTATCACTGTCCATTATAAATAATCCGATATTTTTTCGCACAACTGTCAGACATTTCATGAATTGTCAAGCTATAATTATTATGGACATTTCCATAGCAACCAACCATTCCAAAAACTGCGATTTCTATCAAATTTTATTTTGATTGAACATTTCAGGAAAAATAAAGAGATATATATCATTATGAACAATCGGAGAAAAAATTATATGTTCAACTCGGCAGCAAAGTAGATTGACTGCCTTAGCTGGATTCCTAGCCTCGCTACGCTCGGCTATGAATTCAGCCTCGGCAGTCAATCTACTACTTTGCTGCCTAGTTAAACAAATAACTATTTTTTGAAGACATTAGGAAGTGGCAATGATTGTAACTTTCAAGGCCGTGCCCAGGTGTTTTTTAGGGGTGATCCAATAAAAAAAAACTGCGAATCGATTTTTTTTTCGAACTAACGGGAAAAAGTCGGATTTAGACCATCATTCCGGGGGAGGTCGACGGACCCCCCGGACGCATTTAAACATTCCACTATAGGATCTCAATTCTCTCTTTGGCTCATTCGAATACACCTCGCTATCACAACCAATGATTGAACGGTGTCGAATCGCGTAGCATAATGTTCAAACAGTGCCCAAGACGGCCCGAGTCGGTATAGTGGAAGGTTATAACGGTGTGTCCCACTTACCATGCTCACCATGGGTATCTTATAAACGGTGAGAGATACGAAGTCGGTTAAATGACACCAAATGTGGGGTTTGTCAAGACCAACTATTATGTGAAAAAATATTTTGATAAAATCTATTCGTTTTTGTTTTATCCGCAAAAAACAGATTTTGATCATTTTCATGTCTCCTCCGTAACTTCTTTATTTATGAAAATATTCGAATAGGAATTTCACATTCTCATGGCAGTTTTTCAAAGTGATTTCGAAAAAAATATGGAATTTATACCAACTCTTCTAGAATTTGAGGTATCAGCACCAACTTTTGTTTTTCAAATGTAGGTCATAGCCCACTATGACTTAGTAACAAATAACTCTTTTTTCTCTTACAGATGATATGTCGCAGTAATAGTTTTGTGTTGATAACAACGGAGTGATCGTCATTTATACAAAAACAAAACATTATTTGGAAGCCGCCATCTTGAATTTATAAATTTTAACAAGAAAATCATGATCTCCGACCTCAAAAACCCCAACTCACCAATTTTGAATGGAATCGGACCAAATCTTGTCCGCCATCTTGGAGCAGCCATTTTTTTTAATTTCAACAAAAACTCCTATTAACTTGAAATTTAGCAGGTGTTCATAATCTCGGTGACAATATACATTATGGATTTTTTGTTGAAATTGAAAAAAATGGCTGCTCCAAGATGGCGGACAAGATTATTGGTTCGATTCCATTCAAAATTGGTAAGCGGGGGTTTTTGAGGTCGGAGATCATGATTTTTTCGTTAAAATTTATAAATTCAAGATGGCGGCTTCTAAATAATTTCTTGTTTTTGTATAAATGACGATAACTCCGTTGTTATCAACACAAAACTATTACTGCGACATATCATCTGTAAGAGAAAAAAGAGTTATTTGTAACTAAGTCATAGTGAGCTATGACCTACATTTGAAAAACAAAAGTTGGTGCTGATACCTCAAATTCTAGAAGAGTTGGTATAAATTCCATATTTTTTCGAAATCACTTTGAAAAACTGCCATGAGAATGTGAAATTCCTATTCGAATATTTTCATAAATAAAGAAGCTACGGAGGAGACATGAAAATGATCAAAATCTGTTTTTTGCGTATAAAACAAAAACGAATAGATTTTATCAAAATATTTTTTCACATTATTGTTGGCCTTGACAAACTCCACATTTGGTGTCATTTAACCGACTTCGTATCTCTCACCGTTAAAAAGATACCCATGGTGAGCATGGTAAGTGGGACACACTGTATAGTAAATATAGTTACGGTACCCGAATCTATTTGATCAGGGAATTATGTGGTAGCTGTTCCGAAAAGTATTATGAAAAACTTTTATTTTATTTTCCAGGGGCGGAGTGTACCCTCCAGCAGCAGCATTCGCGAAAACTTCTTTGATCGAGTTACTTAATGAAAATGACGTAACTTTCGAAATAATTTCTAATAAACAGATATAAGTATAGGTATATGTGATCCAAAATAAAATTCTTCCCGAATTTTCATTTTTTCCCACTCCTTTTTCATAAGCACTCTGATAGTATGTATAGGCGGGGTGCTAGTTTGATTGAAACCCCTCCTTATCCATTTTTTTCATCAAAGCCAAATTCTCTTTCTGGAAATAGACAATGAGAAAAAAATTATCTAACACTATTCCTGATATTATACAATTCACAACGTCAAATAATTGTCTCGGAATAATTCGGATTATTTTCATTTGAGTACTAAATGCATTCCAATAACCCATAACACCTACATAAATAATATACATTGAAATTGAGATGACATAGTGAAGCTTATTCATTATTACATCAAAATGTATAAAAAATAATTACTTATATATCGCTATGGAGAAACAAAGATAAGATACGATATTCAAGTAGAAAGCATATTGGTGTGAATCTGGAAAGTGTAATAAAATACAGTGGCGTAACATTTTGGAAAGATCAATCAGTTACTTTTATATATATAAATATATATATATATATAGTATAGTTAGAAACGTTTGTCTAACATAATGATTCAGTAGAGTGAATACTATCTACACTTCTTATCAAATATGACTACAATACGTGAAATGGGCATACAGAAAGTACAAGTTTTGTATTTTGAAATGATAACACTCTTTAGTACAGGCAAAAGGCACATATTGCATCGAGGTAATATGGGTGGAATCATTACTTATAATTATATTGAGCTTCGCAAATTTAATAGTTGAATAAACCATTGTGAAAGAAGGGAACAAAGTCTTCTGTAGTACGACCTTAGCCGGTGGGTATATGATTGAGCTATTACTAATATTATATTAGTAGTTGTAAATGATTGACCGACTGCTACACCCGGTATGTTCACCGCGAGCACAAGAACATCTCAGAGATATACTATATGTGGAGACATTGCACCTCCACTGCGATGTCCTGTTCACACATTAATAGAACTTTCTTAGAACAGCCAATGTCCGCCGCAGGCGGCGTTTGGGATGTCAAAAAAATAAATTCTCCCTGGCTTTTTTGATAGCCTTTCCATGGACGCAACATGACCTTTATAAATCGGTTTGCGCACATGTAATCGCTGCAAATAAACCATTCCTAGTGGATATTGAAGAAAAAAGAAGATAATTAGAAAATATAGCATTTCTTGCTGGAGAACGAATCTACTCTCTTGTGATTGATTTTTTACAATCCTAACACCTTGCCCAATGCGCTATTATACCAACCTTATTATCACTGATCCGAATGATATGAATAGAAAGATGTCAGCATGAACTTCATTATAATAGGATAAATCAATAAGCATTGAAGGTAGAGAATGATAGGGTGAGTCAAGGTAAACATTATAAATATTGATACAAGAATAACATGTCCACCCAGGATAACACATATCCTATGGATATCTTCTTCATGTCCAATTCTGGTCGAGATATCCCTGATGGATTTGAAATGGACATCCACGAGAGATATCCATCGCAGGATTTGAAATGGATATCCTTCAGTAGATATCTTAATAGTAGTCATGGCGTTACCTTTGGCACCCCCCACCACTACCACCCTAGGGGGGCGGAGCTTAGGTGGGGATGGGTGGGGCCTAGCAGGTGGGGTGGAGCTTGGAGGGGGGTGGGTGGAGCTTAGAAGGGGGCGGTGTCTCACAGGTGCGGGAGGGGGTGGTGCTTGGCCTTGATTGGACGGGGTATGGGAGCTTGGATTTGATAGGCCTAGGAGATATATTGAGAGTAATTGACGTGGACGTAGGGATGTGACCTCGAGTTGATTGGTTATGGGTGGAGTATATGGGATGAAAATGGATGTCAATATGGAGAGAAAGTTAATGGCTGTTTGGAGGTGTGTTTTTGAGTGTATCACTTGCACATTGGCTTGTGGGTGTGTTATATGCTGTGTACAACTGCGCGATTGGGCAGGGTGTCGCTGACATGTCGGTGACATAAAAAAAAAAAGATTTTTGGGGTGATTGTAGTTTCTATTGGATGTTGTAGACGTAAACTCCATCAACCGCATTTTGCTCGTATTTATATGAGACTTCCAGTATGAATAATGTGATTTGACAAGAGAGAAATGGAAGGTGGGGGAGCAAGCACGTATCCATCAACTCTCATTGGTTGAATTGGTGAATTTCTAAGTCGAATGGTGTAGTGAGGCCCCACATTGGTTGAGTTTTACATCGAAAAAAAGAGTTATCACTCACCTGAGCATCGTCGAATCAGCAGCAGCAGAATATAATGTTTTCCGCCATGAGGGGGGTGTTCAGGCGGCTGGCATTGCTTCCCTGCTAGGTACGTTCAATTTATCAGCACCAGAATCAGCATATTTTTCTTTGCACGTGTATTTCACGGTTTTCCAAATATATTCATCACACTCTCTTCCTCTCCCCCTCCCTCCCTCCCTCCCCTCTCCATGAACAATGTACAGAATATCTCTATCAAAAACGAAATAATGAACAACACTCACTCACTATTTCGACATATGCTTCAGACCTGCGTATACACATAGTGCACCAAAGTGGGATGAAACAAAAACAACAATGAGAATTATGGAAATATTACAGCACATAACGACGTAACCTCGTTGACTGACTGACGTAGACTGACGAAATCACCTCGGCTACATCTGATTTGAGCAGTTTGGGTATGCGTGCGCACTTCACAAGGATAAGTCGAGCATTCACGAAGAAACATAAACGAATACACGATGATGATGATGTTTCTATTTGCCAATCCTGCCACTCCTGGCAACAAACACTCCTGCCATCTGCCTCTCCACCAATCAGACTCACCTGGTATCTACCATCCCTGCCATCAGACCCACCTGCTACCTGCTACCTTCCACTCCTGACACCTGCCACTCCTGACAACAAATACTCCTGCCACCTGCCTCTCTATCAATCAGACTCACCTGGTACCTGCCACTGAACACTCCTGCCATCAGACCCACCTACTACCTGCTACCTGCCACTCCTGACACCTGCCACTCCTGAAATCTGCCACTTGTGCCACCTGCCACTCCTGCCACCTGCCACATCTGCAACCTGCCACTCCGGCCATCTATCTGTCCTGCTACCTGACACCTGCTTCCCCATTCCTGCTTTGTCACTCCTGCCACCTGCCACACCTGCTACCTGCCACTCCTGCCATCTATCTGTCCTGCTACCTGACACCTGCTTTCCCATTCCTGCTCTGTCACTCCTGCCACCTGCCACTCCTGCTACCTGCCACTCCTGCCATCTATCTGTCCTGCTACCTGACACCTGCTTCCCCATTCCTGCTCTGTCACTCCTGCAACCTGTAACTTCTGCATCCTGCCACTCCTGCAACCTGACACTCCTGACACCTGCACTCCTGTCACTTGCCACTCCTGCCACCTGCTGACCCTACTACCTGCCACTCCTGCCACCTACTTCTCCTACCATCAGACTTGCTTTTTGTCACTACTGCTGCCTGTCGAATCTGCTATCTATCACACCTGCTATCTGATATTTCGGCTCCCGTCCACTTCTCTCAACTGCCATACTATCTAAAATTCATTTTTCTTATAAAATACCCACTGCGATTATGAAGTTTCCTATTTGTAGGGATTTTACGGGTTTTATGACGGATGGCGGACACTCTATCATTGCTTCTTCTTGTTCTGAAACTCTCATAAGTCATCTTTATCAGTAACCAAGTTTTGTTTTCTTCCACGCATATATTTTTCTATGAAGATGAGCGCATTACTATTGGTGCCCCATGGCCAATGAAAAAGCTATTCTCATTTTCTTTGTTTTATTTGGTCATGGAATCTATACACTTCGATTTTTTTCAATACTGATGAAACACCCCTGTACATATATAGAGTGGTCATTGATGAGTTCAAATCATAGCCATTTAGTGAAATAACGTTTACTGGCCCTGACCTATAGTTTTGGAAATCCTTGAACCTCCGAATTTTACAACTTGCCTCACCTCGTGATTTATTTATGATGGAACAAGACATGAGGTAATATATCGTAGACACACGACAACTTCAGTTGCCTATAATATGCTCTTTTCGTATACTTTTTGCGTTATTAACAATATATTCGAGGATTCAAAATTTTGAAATGACTAAAAAAAAAAAAAAAGAAGTGGTGAAACGGAACATATTATTATAATCATAGATTAACGTCGTTAATCTATGTTATAATTGTTTTCGATCTAGCTATTCCATAATAATTCTTGGAACTTCAGCTGTAGGTAACGAAGACAGTGGAGATAACCTATGATGATAAGATACGAACTTGACCTACAAAAGTAGATGATGAAAACATTAATTTGAAATTCATGAAATAATTTCGGTATAAGTTGTAATGAACAAACCGCCGTTTAATTGAAAGGGATATCAGATTATCGATTATCAGCTGATAAAAGAGTGAAAGAGCCATTCAAATAATAAATAATGTCAGTTACTTTCAAAATTCCTTTGCTACACATTACCATACATGTAGGTATTTTGAGTATTTTATCAAGTAGGTAGAGATTAACAACACTGGTATGGAGTACATTTTTCAATCAAATACTCGAATACAGTGTAAGTTGGAGTGAGTTACACAAGGTGTTGGAGAGTGATACATTCTTCATGCAAAATAAATTACCTTATCTCTACCTATATATCTCTCAAGCGCTTGTCAAAATGAGCGTCAATGAATAAATACAACTTAGTGCCAACATAATTAAAAATTGACATTATTGATGCGTCAATCAATAAATACAACTTACTGTCAATATGATTATTTTCGAAAACAATGGGGACTGGAATGAACAAACATTCAAACAAACCAAGAATTCGACAAAACAATAATATTTTGCTTGTTAGTATGACAGAAAAAGAAGAAATAATTAGCAGGGTATGAAAGCAACAGGGCGAATAAAAAAAAAAGCGAGCAATGACACAACGTTCACCCCATACAATGGCCAAGAAGTTGATAATTTCTT